GATAGAATGAAGCTACACACCTTTGACGGCAACTGATATATTGCTTGTTTGCTGTGCTTCCCCTTTTGGCTTAATACGGCAGAAAAATGTCCCTGCATTTGAGTCCGTGACGTTCTCGATGACCAAGGAGAAATTCCTGTCAATGTCGTAGATGCCCTCTGGAATCCCATTTTGGGGCCCAACTATCCCTCTAAAGATGGAGATCAACAAGGACTGTGGCTGCATACTAGAGAAGTACCAGTAAACATAGGCTCCATTCAGACTGCGTGGTGACAACTCCTGAGATAGGACGGCAGAGCAGGGGACGATCCCACGCTGGCCACGCTCCAGGAAGACTGTCTTGCCCTCAACAGTCACATGCGTCCACATACTACCAACTTTAAGACAAAAAAAAGCGAACAAATATCATTAGTAATTAATTGGAGCTTTATAGACACAATTCACATGAACACAAGGCTGTTTAAGTGAAATGGTCAGTTTTTTTGTCAATCTGTTTGTCGCTGCCTCAGTCTCTCCACCACTGAGCCTGCTGTATGCACCTGACCTCATTTCTTATATGGGCCTAACCTGCTCACTTGCTTGCATCCCCTTTTTGAGTTGAATACACATTAAATGATTTGTGCATGTACTTCTAACAGACTTTCCGTACATGAGTATTTTTTTCCAAATAATCTACACCAGGCTTCACTACTACAGAGGTGCCTCTCAGACTTTCATAGCAGGCATGCAGAGCAACATGCTTGTACAAATGGCTAAACGTACACATACCCAGAACGAGGAAGAAGGCTGATACCAGTCTGACTGGATTCATTTTGCTCTCTTTCGTACAATCTGCAATGAAACCAATAAATCTGTTTCACTCATCAAACAGCCTCTCCACTGTTGTGAATGTACGTGATGACAAGCTCTCAAAAGCTCCACCCTCTAACAAATCTATCAGACAGAGACAAATTCCTTTGATGGCCCGTGCACTAAAAATGTTTTCACAATCAATTAAACTGCATATGTTTCCAAAAGTTTTGCATAAATGAGTCTCACATGGTAGGCCTATTCACTGCTGACTTACAAAAAGATCGAGCACATCTGGGCAAAAGCTGAAGCAAAAAAATTCAGACACTAAAGGAAAATGGGGTGAACACTGATTAAGAAAACCATTTACCAATGACAAATGAAAGTACTTTGAACTCAGTCCAAATGCAGGTAACATCGTTACCTATGTCAAAACCCATTATTTGGTTAGTTGAATAGTAAGAAGCACACAATAATTCTCTTTGACATTATCAAAAGTTGGAGGTTCCCACTCCTGCTTTCTGTTGGTATAAATTTCTTCTACCATCAAAAATGTGTAGTGGGTCTTTTTTTCAATTTAGGTTAAATATTCTTAGTGAGAATCTACACAAACATTTTCTCATAAGTTATTCCCTGGTTTACGTTTTGAAATGTCTGTCTATTATCTCTGAGTTTTCTCTGAATCCTTAGGACCTGTCTTCCTCTTTATACCACAAGTGCTACACACAATGCCAAGGTCAACGATTGATCCAGAGACTAGCAAATAACTGTGGAAACAAATTTGTGCCCAGCAACTTATTACTAAGCAATACCGTGACAACATGAATTATGCATCTTGGCACCTGTCGGGTGCCGTGACTTCAATTGTTGCTATGTCAGTGACCCCAATGACGTCACTTGGGGATTCCTTGCAGTGTCGATAATAGATTCCCTACCCATGTTATTCAATTAACGAAGGTGCATGAGACTTCGGACGTTGGTTAAAAAAGATTAAGTAGCATTTAATCAGTGGTTCTGTATAATCTCGACAGTGGCTCAGTGGTTTGTCTCGGAGGTCGTTACGAAGCCGAGGAGTACATTACGTGTCAATAATATCTCAGGTCTATTTCTATGTACATTTTTGTAATTGATCATTCCACTCTAGTTGCCTAAAAACCTATGCGTTTTCTTTATTGCTAGGCATGTTTTCACAAATATTTCTGCACATGAACAAATGTTTGTTATCATAGTAACTATGTGCTATAATTGAAATTTCATCAAACTGTAAAGCAAATTTCATTGAATGTGTAGGACTGTCCACTTACAAAGTTTAAACCTTGCCAGACATGTATTTCAAAATTTCTTATTTATTGCTTTTTGAAATCACAGCACATTTCATAAAAGACAGGGTAGTATTTTAAATTAAATGGAGATGAACCACTGACATAAACATCTCCATACTTTAGATTTCATGGTTATCTTTTATACTTCATATAGTTTTGTATTTTACCATTGTTATATTTTGTCTTTTATACCAGGACTTTGAAACATTTTGCAAGTATTTATATATAATTCAACAATAAAGAAACAAGTGTTTAATATCTAATGAGATCAATGCAGCTGGTTGTTTAAAAAAATAAACAATTTTCCAGAACTACAGGGAATTAATGCATGGATTTCTTTTGTTTTCATTGAGATGTCCTTTTTTATTATTGTTAATCAATTTCATCCACAATTTTAATGAAAATGACCAAAAGGAATCTGGTACTGAAAAACCCAAATTGAGAATAATTTACACCCACCTACCCTTCCATTTCTGACTTTAGTAAAAGTATTACTGGCATATTATAAAAACTTTTCGGGACAAATTTGTCATTTGGAGGGATGTCATTTGAAAAATGACCGCTGACAGACTTGGGAACGTTCACTTTTTGGGAGGTGAGTTTGTTTTGGGTGGATAATTAAAAATTTCATTGGTTAACCTACTAAAAATTGAATCATTTGAGAGCTGAATGACCCCAAAACACTTTATTTTTTGTTTGAGAGGCCTGAGGGACTTCGGTTGCCCGCACCAGGGCTGCAAACATGGTCGATTTTACATTGTCTTCAATGGGGCTTTAATTAGTTCAGTTCACCCATAAACGAAAGCGCTTTCGGATGCGCTGCGCGCTGACTGGGATTCACACAAAATGGCAGGTTCCGCGCCGGTGAAAACGGCGACCATGGCGACCTACGTACGATACGCACGCATCAGTCAGTCCGAGAACCGACGGGTTAATCTTAGGCTTTGATCAGGGCCGGGTATGCGCGCACTCGTTGCAGTTTTTCATCGGCGAGGTATGGTTGCTGCCCGCAATTTTGTAAAACTCCCTAATGTCCGTGCTGTGTCCTTGCTCTATGAAAATTGGGATAATCAAGTCAGTCTCAGAATTAGAAGGGAGTATAAATAATAAATTTGGGCAAAAGTCAGTGCACTTAATATTAAAAATGTCTCCTTACCGCTGACTGAACAGATTCCCTTGGGACGATGACAACCGTTCGAGAATTCACAGGTAGGGCCTAGGTTTGATGGGAATACGAGACGAATGCGCCACCTTAGCAGCCTCAAGTTCACATGATCGTGATTCCTGCGCCAAATTGACTAGTTCGTGACATTTATAGCTGGGTGAAACATTGGGACTAGACTCGACACGCCCAGAAATAATTATCAAAATTTTTGTCAAGAAACAAAGAAAATTTTCTTCCCAGGGTTTTCGCTTCAGTAGCGAGGAGCTGGAGTGTGATGATCCACTCAATGAGGACGAGGATGTCGAATTTCTTTTGTGCAGGATACGGGTTGGTTGCCGGGGAGCTGGAGATACACAAAGAAGGGAAGTCCCTGACTCGACTGTGCAATGTCACCTGGGATTTTCAGACCAATGGATTCACTTCTAAGGATCTTTTCCCAATAAGGCAAGTACCGTACCTGCAGTACTGGTCCCATAATTAATGTCAGTAATGCTAGACTACCCCTGCCCCTTGACAAGAAAATGTCACCTTTCTGAGAATTCAACCAAGTGTTTTTTGGGGAAAAACATTTTCGGCAAAAATGTTCAGGCCAACTTATCCACTGTCTTAATTCTAATTTGCATACTGTAAAAATGTGCCACTTGTTTTCATCAAATTCTAGAAAGAAACCTGCCACCAATACAGATATTCCATTTTGTCCTCTCAATTTCACATTGAAATACAGACATACTAGACAGTGCTGTGGGTAACAAATTGTTTATTAAATGTATTGTTAGGGGGCAATTACCACTTGGTAATTGAATTCCATAGGAATTCCATATGCAAACGATCGACCGATCGTGCTGACTCGGAGATTGAGCAATCTCGCACATCGACCAATCACACCGTTGTAGGGATCTGGGAATTCCCCATCTAATTTAGCGAATTGTGTGACCCTTGAACCTTGTGCACGTCCTCAAGGCGTGATTGGGCCCACGTGGGTACCGGCCGGGTGCACAGAATGTACAGTACATGTACATGTACAGTATGTCGGCCGGAAGTGGCCTACAATGTGATACCTTTTGGTGGCACTGAAGTTGGGCGGGTTTCCAAGGTTTTTCGGGAGTGGGGAGTACCTAGCCCCACTAGTGTGGCACGGACTCTCACTCCCGATTTATCGATAAATCGGGAGTGAGAGTCCGTGCCACACTAGTGGGGCTACGTTTGACCATGATGACATGCTGTGCCCGAACCCTATGAGCGTGATCAAGTATAAGCATGAAAGGTGACTATTGTGACTGGTCTGAAATGAATACCTCATTATTTTCGAAGTTAAATTTGACTTTTTAGGACATTTTGTTGTTTTTATATGGCATATAGGCCATTGCTTAAAAAACGCAGTAGCGTCCCACTGTGAGGCTCGCAGTCGGCCATCCGCGGCGGAAACTTGGCCTACCCGTGCATTTCTACATGATTAGGCCTATGTAGCATCAGTCTCAGCACGGAAAAGGAATTTTGCCCCTTTGTGTCACAGATATCAGCAAACAACACCTTCCCGTCGTATACTTACATACCAATTCCGATTTGTTATCATTTTCTCCATATAAACAAATTAAGCTGAAAAATGTCCCACTCCATTAAAAAGCAGCCGTAACTTCGACGGTCCTGGAGCACGTCGTGCTTATTATGGATCGGTCCCCTTCCCTATTATATAGGGACCAGTAGCTAGCTGCAGTTTAAATAAACCAATAACAATAATGTATTTTGGAGGTTTGCACTGTAACAAAATCCATTGCAGCTACCCTTTCAAAGCGCTAAAACGGGCGACGAGCGAAAGAATATATATACTACGTTGCGAATTGGCAGTGAGGCCACGACGATGTCGGCCGTGAATCAATGGCTGGACCTTCTAATCTTCAACTTGACGCACGGCTCGCGGCAGTGACCTTTGATCTGAGTTAAAAAACTGCGCTAAATGCCCAAAATGATCCATGACAGATACACTCTTCACCTTCGCGTCCTTTATTTGTTAACAGTAACAAACACTTGAAAGCCACATTCAACTGCAGCATGATAACAAATTGAACAAAGTAATTCAAGTTAAGTCTAACATCAATTACATACATTTCTGTAAATCTTAATACATGTATGTTAAGTCAGTCTTAAATATTCATGATCCCGTCAGGAATGTTTCCTGAAAGACAAGGCGGGCAATTCCCCTTAATGTGGAAAAGCCATCGTTTCCACCCGCCCAACACACAAGAGTTCTATACCCGAAACATTTTGGTCAAACGTTCCACACGATCTGCAATAAAACATACATGCGACACATTCAGTGTTTGCCAGCAAGGTTATCTGGGAAACTCTTAATAAATAGGTAGCTTAAACCTCACACGTTGTAAGAAATCAAAGAAGTTTTGAAAGCATCTGCGGCGTTCGTGTCTGTCCAGTGACAAAATACTGATGGTATCAGTACAAAATAGTAGTCTTAAAAAGAGTTAAATTTGAAAACAAAAATAAAACAGAAAACAGCACTTGTCTGCTGTGCTGATAGTGGGCAGGTTGAAACGGTTATACAATCTACGTACGTGGAAATTACGTGAAAACAACATCTGCAACAACATTTCCAAATCAAAACTCGAAGCGACAAATCAAGGTCTCCTTGGGAATGGGAACTGCATATCAAAAGAAAACAGTTCTAACACTGATTCTTGTCACTGTTTATCTGAATCAATTATCTGTAAAAAGCCAGCAACTTACAAGAAGTACACGTTGGTGTGTTAAGAGACGTCGCTGAGCAAAGGTCAATAGGTCATGCATCACAAAACAAACAAATTTACTTCCATCAGTAAGCCATTTTCGGCAACCAGTGAGATTATCCTACCGAGTAAAAGTTACTGAAGACCTGATCAACGTCTAATGGTATCTGGCGATAGGATTTTTTTGCAAGATGATGACTGACATAGATAGACATCGACGTCAACATTTGCTGTCAGATCACAAAGTTTCATTATATCACGACGCCTTGATTACTGATCTTTTACATTTAACAAAATGAGCTGATCATAGTACCTAAACTAACTGTTTATATCGACAATTTGGGCTGATGTCGAACATCAACAACACATCAGCAACAAGCACAGCCAAAAGGAAAACAGAAAAACCTCCCTCGTGTTTCAAACACTCATATCTCTTAAACGTACAGTCTCATAGAGTACAGATGCTTTAAAATGTCTACATACGTACAATAATGTTAGCTTTGCAAGCACAAAAGAGCGGGAGTATTTTCAATTTTTTCTCCAAAGAAAGAGAGCAAGATTAGGCCTAACAAGCTTAACAACAAATAAGGTATTACACAGAAAGGAGAAAGATACGTTAAAAGAGCAATCCAAAAAGATTTCAAAAATTATAATTTTCATTAATATACTTCTCTTGAGAAATAAATTATGTTTACACATCAAACAAATTGTTTAGCACACATCACATCATGCGGAAGCTAAATACAAGTCATATTTGTAAGACTATTCAGAATATATTATTTTTCCATTTGAGTCAATGGAAAGTCCGAAATACTGACAGGTTTTCACTCATAAATAAAAAAAAGCACAGCCGACCATGGCACAAATTGGCAAAACTATAATGCTAAAAATGAGGGCAAGTTTCCAAAGATGGACTAATATAAAAGTGATTCAATTCTGGCAAGCAGTGGTAGCGTATGTTCTTCATTCATCAATTCTGGGGCTAGCAATCACACAAGAGATTTAAAGAAAAAACGGCAAGCACTAACTTTTCCAAACTTACAACATTGATACTTTTCAAATGAGAAGCAAGTTTCTATAAGGCTTGTCTTGTCATGCCCAATTATTATGGTACATATCCCCCCTTTTTGAGAGGGGGAATTGGCTTTCGAACCATCCCCCTCTACCACCACCAGCTTTTTGTGGTATGCAAAAAAGTAGAGTGGATTGTGAAGAATTTTTCAGACTTCCAACGACTAATATGCATTCAGTATTACTCAGAAAGGGAGACCAATTTAAAAAACCATAAATATTCCATTCTGAATGCATATTGCAGATGTACATTAATATCATGAACATCGACCTCTATATAGAGTCATATTATGTCACCCCCACCCCACTTTTCAAATTTTCATGTCATCTCCCCATCCCCGCCCCCACCCCATTTTCGGCACAACTTTACGCCACTGGAGAGGACGTTTCATGAATTAATCTGTGAAATACAGTCTATCTTGAGGCTGAGTGCTATACTGAGACCAGATCTGAATGACTAGCACCCACATAAAAGACCTGAAGTAATACTTAAACTTAATACTTAAAGGATAACTGAAAGAGCTGGGATGTTTGTAAAGTCTTCGTGTGCGCAGCTGCATTTAGGAAAAACTTCAAGATCAGCTCACTACTTTCTGTAAATTTCACAATTAACATCTTTGATTTGCAGGCATCTTTTCATTTTTTCAAGAATAATTATATTGGCACTTCAGTCAGGCATGCCATGTACTTTACGATAAAGATGAGGTCTGAGTCTTAAATTTTCTATGAGAAATCGTATTCCGTCCATGAAGTTTTAGAGGGCTTTAAGTCAGTGCTAGTGCACAAAAAGCGGAAAAGCTCATTACAAAGTCTAAACGAAACTCAGTTAGGGGTAAAAATAACTTGCTTCATGGAACAGACGTACGGTAAATGTCTTAGCCATGCTGTCATTTATCTTCTTCGCAGCTCTTGGATTGAAACAGCATGGAAATTAAGGCGGGACTAATCTCAGAGAGGCTGTGATTGTCATCAAGGTGGCAATGATTTGGCATGTAAACGAAGCTTACAGTAACTTCACTTAGAGAGACGTAATTTATTAGTCAAGGAAAAGAACTCTGTCACTCTCTTTCAACGCTCATTAGATACGGAAAGGGAACGGACATTGTGAGATGTCNAACCTAATGGCAATTTTCTGAATTTCTCTTATGTGCCTCTTCAAATTTTCATCAAGTCATAGATGCATATATAGTATTCAAGAAATTTTTTCAGATTTAAAAATCAAAAAGGCTTTTTGAAACAATTTTAAAGGGCGTGCCAATCCCTGTCGTGAAGCTGAACAATGTGTGACTCGCTGGTGCTGACTCATGAGTCCGCCGCTTCCAGCCCGTTTTGTTGAATTCGCAAATACAATGTACCAGCAACTTTCTGTGGATTGAATTGTCCAAATCTTCTTGTTTTGGCTAAACTTTGAAGTTTGCTTTCTTGTGAATATTTTATATTTTTTCCCTAAAGTACAACTTGACCCGGTGTTGGAAGAAAAAATAGAGGCTTGAATTGGATCGTGTAATGTAGTGGAAACTTGAACAGATTAAAGTTTTGCAGGCGCACTTTTCTGTAAGGTTGTGTATGCAATGCATCTCATGATGCATTGCAAATGTCAAAATGATTTGTCAAAATAGGAAATTGGGCAGGTCTATGTTTATAGCATCTAGTGAAAAACACATTGCTGACTTGCTCCTGAACGTCATCATCATGCCGGCGACGCTTTTATTCCATCGAATTTTTGGCTGAACTTTAATGAGGTTTTCTTGGCTTTCAAAGTTGTTTTATATGATGTTAAAGAGCGATCTTTCGTTAAAGTGTAGCTGTTATGAATTTTTTTTAAATTTCTGCAATTTAATACTCAATTTTCCTAACTGCACATTTGATATCCATGCGGTACTAGGTTAAACGCATCGGAAAATTAAATCTCTGAAATCCGTGCTTTCCAGACAACCGAGGGCGCTGTTGCTGCATGCTTTGTCAACCTGGAATGAAAGTTCACTGCCTAGGCTTTTCGGTTAAAATTGTGAATCCACAACATTTCTAAGAAAGTGTTAATTAAGCGCTTCTTTTTGCTATAGGTTTTACAAAAATTAACCGATGAAGGAAACGGAAAATTTAGGCCAGCAAAATCTTTAAAACAGAGGTTTTCGGTGCACAACCCAATGTAACGAGTGACATCACTGTTTATTTGGCTCATAAATATGGAAATGCTCAGCATAAAACTAAAAAGACACTAAAGAACCGTTTGAAATAGTGAAAGGAATATTGATGTACAAAAGTGTATTTCGGAGGTTTGTATTGTCAAAGAATCATAAAAACAACCCTTCAAAGAGCTAAAACGGGCGAACAGCGCGCGAATACATATGTTTACGCTGTAAATTGCCAGCATGGCCATGTACATCGGGCGTGAATCAATCTCTGCGCCTTCCTATCTTGACAGGTCGTGGCAGTGGCCTTTGACCCGAGTCAAACCAACTAAATGTATGCTAAATGCCCCAGATGACTTATCCATGACAAATTCACTCTTTGCTTTCGAGTCTTTTATTTTGTTAACAGTAACAAACACTATAAAGCACATCCAATTGCAGTTGATTTAACAAACTGTATAAAGCACATCCAATTGCAGTTGATTTAACAAACTGTATAAAGCACATCCAATTGCAGTTGATTTAACAAACTGTATAAAGCACATCCAATTGCAGTTGTTGATTTATAAGAAATCGAGCACGTGCAATGATCGAAGTCTAAACACCAAATGACAGATATTTCTGTGAATCTTAATGCAAGAATTGCCGCTGAGTACAACTTCTAAGTATTTTGCTTAGTTCAGCTGAGGAATGTTTTCTGAAAGATGAGGTGGGCCATTCGTCTTAAAATGGTAAAGCCATTGTTTTAATTCCTATCACACAACAGTGTGATAGGAATCGTATAGTATACCCGATGCATTTTTTTGCAAGATGATGACTGACATAGATAGACATCGACGTCAACATTTGCTGTCAGACCACAAAGTTTCATTGTATCACGACGCCTTGATTACTGATCTTTTACATTTAACAAATTGAGCTGATCATAGTACCTAAATCTTCTGGTTAATTTTCTATATCGACAATTAAGACTTATGTCGAATAATAACATCACCAGCAACAAGCACAGCCAAAACGGAAAAAGAAAAACCTCCGTCATGTTTCAGACACTCGTAAGCTATCTCTCAAATGTACAATTCCATACGTGTACAAATGTTTTAATCTACATACAATAAAGTTATCTTTTCAAGCAAAAACACACCTTCCCATTTTTTGTTCAAAGAAAGACTTCAAGATTAACTTTCTCAACAACAAAGCGAGAAATATTACACATAAAGTATAGGAGAAACTGGAGTCACACATTGAAAAGGCAATCTAAAAGATTAAAAAATACTAATTCTCCACTTATATTGTTCTCTTGAGAAAAAATAATGATTTACACATCGAACGAATTATTTGGCACACTCCAAATTCCCTGGCATCATGCGGAAGTTAAATAGAAGTCATATTTTTAATCACTTTTAAAAAGTTCAAATGAACGAAATCTTAAGCGTCTATACGCACATTATTTTTTATTCAAATCAATGGAAAGTCCGAAATTTTGATTGACTAGTAGTTTTTCACTGATAATAAGAAAAGGAACAGCTGACCATGGCACAAATTGGCAAAAACTACTTGCTAAAATGAAGGCAAATTTCCACACGGTGGATTTATACAAGGTGACTTGATCTGGCAAGCGACGGTAGCGCATATTTTTCATTTGTCCATTCTGAGGTTGGCGAGCATACAAAAAAGATTCAAAGAAAATAGACAGGCGCTAAATTCTTCAACTTGAACTTACTACACTGATACTCTACAAATGAGAAGAAAGTCACTACGGCTTGATTTTGATTTGAGATGTTTGTAAATTCTCAAGTGTATAGCTAAATTCAAGAAATACCTTCAAGATCAGCTAAAAAATTTCTGTAAATTTTACAATGATTTCAAGGCATCTCTTCACTTTCTTAATATTCTTTGTTGGCACTTCTGTCAGACATGCTGTGTAATTTACCATAAGCTCTGAGACTTTTGTATGGGAAATCGTATTCCATCTATGAAGTTTTAGTGGGCTTTAAGTCAGTGATAGTACCAAAAAAAAAAAAAAAAGAACAGTCGTCTGTCCCAACTCTGCGGAAAAGCTCATTATGAAGTCTAAAGGAAATTCAGTTATGGGTAAAAACAACCTGCTTTGATGGAACAGACGTACGGCAAATTTCTTAGCCATTCTGTCATTTATCTGCTTGTTCTCAGCTCTTGGATTGAAACAGCATCAGAGAAGCTGTGATTGCTATCAAGGTGGCAATGATTTGGCATGTAAACAAAGCTTGCAGTAACTTCACTGATAGAGACGTAATTAATTAGTCAAGGAAAAGAACTCTGCCACTCTCTTTCAGTCTCTTTCAACTCTCATTAGATACGGAAAGGAAAAGGGCATTGTGGGAAGGACCGAAACATAGCAAAATTAGCCACTTGGGTGTCCTTGCAGCCAAAACTGACAATCGATATTTCCCTGGACTAGTTCCATCTCGGGAAAGATTTCTTTAACCACTCTCTCAACATTTTTGGGCGTCATACCAGTCCGACGCAATTCCAACATCAGGATTCTTGAGCAATGTGTTAGGCTATGGGCAACGACTCTTACAGCATGTGTAGAGAAGCTGCCTCCTGATATGTAAAGTTCACGCAATCTTTCAGCTCTTGGCATCATTGCTGCCAGTGACATTAGATCTTCTTCCCCAAGATCACAGTCGTAGAGTTCCAGATACTCCAAGAAACGGATGAGCGGTTTTAGGCTGTTCATGTATCCATTCAGCCTGTTGTTCAGCACACCAAAATACACCGCCTGACTCTCTGCAAGACTTGAAGCAATGTCCAAGAGGACCTTTTCTGACCGGATGATGTCGCATTCAATGCGTAGGCCAAATCCATAACTTTTGGTCTTGCAAAAAGGTACAAGTACCTCAACTGCTCTCGTTCCTTGATCCTGGGGTTCAGCCGCAGCTCCATCACTTCCTCCTTGCTCTTTCTGATTTATGCAAACTATTGTCCGTGCTGGCTTATGAATAAGGTCTGATACTGTGATGCTGAGTTGGTTGAACTCCTTCCCCAAAGTGTCTGAGACTAAGAGACCAAAGTAAAGGTGGTCAACATCCACACGTTGAAGAATACTTTTGACTTGGGACTGATCTTTGATGACATGCAAATAAACCTCCAACCTCTTGAGGTGGACTTTTGGCAGACGACAAACATAAGCTCCACCCAAGGACTCTAGATCTTGAGGTAATGGGATCTTGTCTACGTAATACTGGAGAGCTGCAAATTCCTCCTTGTACTTAAGGGACAACCGGGATCCAACCCCTGCCTCGAGACTATCTGACTGGGATTCGTAGTACAGCATGAGAGTCAAGTGTTGCACCCAAAGATACCTGTCAGATATTAACTCATCTTTAATGCTGCGGACGTGTTGGAAGATTACAGATGCCACTTGGGTATTCATACCACAGGCAAACCGCAAAACATACTCAACTTCTTGTACAGTGTCAATTGTCACTTTAGACAATAGCTCCTGCTGGATGAAAGACTCTGTTTGCCTGACAAGAAAATAGGCTGCGAAGTACTCCTGGAAGGTCTTATGAATAAATGTAGCGGTGGCTTCATTTGAGCCAGGCCTCTCTAAGAAAAATCCTAACTCTAATCCATCATTTAAAGACGTCCCGGGAAATTCACCATGTGGAAAAACAAGTCTTTCCCCGGAGGAGTCCATAAGACCTGCAAAGGCAACTTTTCCAAGTGCCCCAAAGACTTTTTCTTCCCACCCTTCTCCCTTTGATTCACGTGATGTGTTGTATTTCCTTTCCCAGTGTCTCAACAGAGCATCTGTCACCCTCCCGTACAACTCAGTGATTCTGGCTGGTAGGACCTCATCTTGCCTGCTGTTATCCCAAATGTAACAGAGCAACCTCAGCATGATTGGTATCTTTGCAAGTATCTCAAGAAATGCCGCTGTCTCAATCTGGCGAATCAGCCCCGCTGCTTTAGCGTTGTCCTTGCTGAAACGATGTGTGATGTACTTGTTTCTATTCTGCTGGCTGAAACCAGTGGTTTCAATCACCGCAAAAACGGGATCTTCATTCCAGGAATTGAGCTTCTTCATCATGTGAGGGCGTGTTGTCACGATGATGCAGCAACTAGCTAAGGATTTGACAGCCAAAATGTCTCTCACTGAAATGTCTCCTGGTGGTGCTCGCTGGTTGAGCACCTTCAAGTTTATCTCATCCAGTCCATCCAGGATAATCAAAACCTTATGACCGACTTTTCGAATGACAGACCCCAGAGCCTTCTTGCTCACCATTTGATCGCTGGGAAAATTCTGACGGAGAATGGCACTTAACAACCCAGACTCCTCAATCATTTCTTTCATCTTTAAAACGAACACAAGTTCAAATTTCTGCATGTAATCTGCACCATTTGCCCAATCATAGCCGAACCGCCTGACTAGTGTGGTTTTACCACATCCAGCCGCCCCTTTCACCACAAAGTGCCTTCTCCTTTTCTGTCCCCCAAGTAGGCCAATCATCTGCTCACGTGACTTGATTGCCACGGAGTGGTTTTTTTCGTGGAGTTCAAGATCAATGAATATCTCCTCTGTGGACATGGCATCACCTTGATTCTCCTCTGATGGGTCAATTGAGATGTTCTGCATCTTTGCCTGGAAGAGAGGTTTCAGTATATTCTGGCAACCTTCCACAGTAAAGTAATCTGAAACAAAATGAAAAACAAAAAACACAGATCAAAACTCGTAAAAGCAATTATCGCCAACTAAAATTGTTCAGTTGGTAGAGCACTGGTATGGTGTTCCTGAGGTAGCAGGTTCAAATCCCACTCCATTCAATTTCTTTGTTCATCTTTATAATCAACTAAAATTTTGATAATCATCACCTGCGATGATTTCTTCTGACGATTAGCGATGCTCCTGAAGTGAAATTTTGACCTCACACAAGAAGTCTATAATTTGGCACAGTTAGTAAGTCAAATTATGAGGTATAATTGTTCCATTTTTTGTGGGAAGACAGGTCCTATGTTGATTGCTTTTACGGGTACAAGGTCATACTTCATCTCTTTTCACTTGATGAAATTATTGCATTTAGACGTTCAGCATAATCCCTATCCACTTTGAAAAAGAATTCTTGGATAAACTCATGTCTATCAGGAAGTGAACTGGTCAATTTATCAATGTAACATTAGCATATTTGTGAGGAAAATGAATTCACTGACCATACCTGAAAGAGGTGTACCTTCTTCGGAGTCTCTTCCCGGTCTGCCACTATTTCGTCTCTTTTGTACCTATATTGTGGTAAACAGAAAAAAAAATAAGTCATATTGATCTCTTGCAACTGCCCACAGCTTGGTTCAATGGTTCAATATGAGCAGGCAAAATCCCTCCAGCAACCTCAATTTAACAACAACATTCCTGAATTATTTCCCCCAAACTTTGGTCTCAGTATCAGACCAAACCAATCCCTCTATTCTTGTGCCCTTGCTCAAACGGTTCTTTCTTTGCCGTCCTTGTTGTGTATTTGTGGTTCTTGTCCAGCCTTCACTCAGATCTGTTATGCTGCTGGTGATCTCAGCACACTAACCCCGCAGTGATATATCTCTCTTCCTCACACAGTGACACCATTATGACATTTTGTCCTCCTTTGCTCTTACCACAAACAGAAGGAGCCAAACCACTATCACCAATCCAGTGAGACCACCGAATGATGACCCCAATGCTATCCCAACAACTGGAAGTTCGTATGGGACCTCGGTAGTTGACGCTACCACTTCCTGGTCCCAAGAGGTGGTCGTGCCTGCCGAAACTTTACATGGAAAAGAACATGTAAACTATCATTAGGGTGACAGAAAGAGGTTTGACATATCCATTTGAATTGTTTACACGGCTCAAAGCTTTACCTACTACAATGGAAGATACAGCGTTTATAAAACAGAGCGGGAGCACCTGGAATTAACAGGGGGGGCACGATGGAAGTGAACCTCAACATACAAAGGGGGTCTTTTTACAATGGGAAGTTCATGTTTAACCTCAAGGGGGTGCAATCAATTTGACAAGTAATGTATTAAGCAAATTTCTCCCAATTTACACTCTCTATACATGTTTTTAAAACCTTGAAAATTGGTCATTAGAGCAGGTCTTAAGTCTCCAGTCTACGACGTGATAGGTATGTATTGACAAGAATATATGCATTGATGTCTGGGTTGGCATAAATCACAAGTTCATCGTGCCTACCTGGTCGGGGTGATGGGGGGCTCTGAATGACAATATTGGCGATCATGTGACTACCACTTTTATCCCCAAGAGCGCTACTGTAGGCCTCACATTGGTACCGTGCGTCACCATCACGTGCATAAACAGGGATTGTTGCCGATGTCGTGTACGTATTGTTGATCTGAAACCAGCCTTAGGAAAAGAAATGAAGAAAATAGTGATTTAAAACTTAAGGTGACAAAACCGACTAATGTTGGACTAAAACCCTCAAATGGCGAGGCACAGGTGTGTTCATGTATTCGTGCTCTTTGCTCTGCGGCATCCGAAATGTTCAGGTTATTTCTCTTCAATGTCACATCCACAGTTAGGGGATGATCTCTGCAAAGGTGCTCTGGAATACAGCCATTTGTTGAAGCATTTTGATAAAATCACAATAACCAGGCAATCATAATTATGAATTAAATTAAGGCAATAATTAAACAGTCTAATACCATCTTACTCAGCAGTTTGCAATTTCTTTATAATAAATTCATAATATTCATGATATTGAGAGTGGCTTTATCCCAGGTGAAAAAGGTCCATATTTCCAGTAGAGCAAACAGTTTTAGCCAACTCAAATTTGAAAAAAAAAGTTGATTACCAGTAACACTACAGAGAAGCATTTAAAAAAATTATTAGTTGGACTTTGATGTCCATTCTACAAATGGTTGATTCACTGCAGAGCCTGCATGATGCTCAACCTTAACCCTAACCCTCCTCAATCCTTCAACTGTTGGAGGACTGAGGAGTGTTAGGGTTAAGCATTTTGGGCACAATTTCTTTGGGAAGTGCCATGAGCTGTACACTGCCATGCTGTTTTCAGTGAAATAGAATAAACCAGAAGTTACCTTTTAGACGTGAAGAGTTTTGCCCGCTAAAATATTTCCATTTCACATTTTTCCGAACATCAGCTTTCTCATTATAAATAAAAAACAACAAAGAAAAATAACTTACTCATAAAAATTGTAACTGGATCGAGTATGACAACATTATTGATGGCATAGTGAGTGCTGTCCTAGTAACACTGAAAACAAAAGGTGCACCAACATCAACTGACCTGCCTCCTGTGAATCTGGTGGAAAGATTATTGGTG